TACTCTTAGCCTCCCATTTATAACTAGCATAATTGTAAGGTTTTTGTTTGTTTGTTTTTTTTTTCTAGTAGGAAGGAGGGGCGGGGGCGGGAGAGGAGCGGCCCCAGGACATTGCGGGACCCTGGTCTCTGAATCACTAAGCAACTCTGCTTCTAGAGCTCTGAGCACTTTTTAAGGTCTAGGAGTAATTATTTATTTAGAACAGAGTCTAGCAGCCCAATGACTCCCTTGCCAGTTTCCTATCTGCTTGTTGGCAGAAATCTCCATCATCCCTATTAAATAGACCTCATCTTCTCGGAGCCAACCCTTATTCAAGGCACTAGTCCCGGGCATTACACAAGAAAAAAGGATTTGCTGTCGACATCCATTTTACACGTGTGTATGTAGTGAGGACAGGCTGCTGGCCGGGCGGCCGACTCTCCGAAATGAATGTTTGAGCTAGGATTTCTGGCATAATGGGCCCAGCACGCAAAATCCAGGTGTTGAGTGGTGAAGGGGTTAGTCATCTAAAACTAGGAAGCCTCCGGCAGCCTGGGGAGGGGGCCGGATACAGTTAAACCCGGTCCGACTAGGCTAGGGTCATGATCTCACAGTTCGTGGGTTCAAGCCTCCTTCGGATTCTGTGTCTCCCTCTTTCTCTGCCCCTCCCCCCCTCAAAAATAAACAAACATTTTTTGAAACTTAAAAAAAATTAAAGTCGGTAAGCCACGCAGTGCTACCAGGGATACCAGTGCTGGGCAGGGCTCTTACTGCCAGAAGAGTTAGATGTTTCTTCTGATTAAAAGAGGAAGCAGTACTTTGCCTAAGACATCAAACAGCCTGGTTCGAACTTGGCGGTTAGGAATCCTGTGCGGCTTTCAAATGCGAGGTGGTAGTACAGGGGAGGAAGGGAAACAGGGGAGAAGTACCGCTTTAATCGCGTGAACTCGCTCGGAGACCGCGTGCCTCCGCTGGGGGCGGGGGGAGTGCAGCACCGAGAGGAGGGCGGGCGGGGGACGCGGGAGGGGGGGCAGGGGAGGGACTGGGTCCCTCCCGTCCCAGTCCAGTGTCCTGACTTCCAGCCTGTCCCCCCCGGCCAGCTTGACAGACCAGCGTTGACTGGAGGCCCACATATGGGCGACTCACCGGGTACACTGCAGCTTGAGTTACCAGGGCGGACGAGCCCCTGGGAGAAGACTCCCACCCTGCAGGAGGAAGGGCAGGGTCTGGGGGGGCACGCCTGCCGGCCGGGGAGGAGAGAGGGGGCGGCTGATCACGAGGCGCGAGGCAGGGCACTGCCACTGACGACAAGCCTCCAAAAGAGAGAGAGGGAATCGGCAGCAGCGCTGGAGAGCAGCATGACCCTGGCCATGACAGGCTCCAAGCATCGCGAGCCTGCACTGGGGTCGGGCCGAAGAGGTGCAGGCGCCTGCTTCTCGCGGCGGGCAGCGGAGCCAATGTGTCGACCGAACCGCCCGCCTGGTGGAGCCCGATTCAGGTGGAGCCGGCCGCCTGTCGCAATGGGAGAGGGGGTGGCGAGGCTGGCCTGGATACAGGCTTTGCACAGAGGTAGGGTCTCAAGTGAGCGTTGCCGATTCTCAGTGAGGGGGACTCCTGTGTGAGTTCTCTGGTGGAGTTTGGAGCGGGAGCCCACCCCTCGTCCAAGTCCTGGGGGCTTAGGAAGCCGCGAGGAGATAGGAGGCTCCTTGGGTGCAGATCTGTATAATGTGGTGAAGATCGGGGCAGGGGGAGCCTATTTGTCTAGGCATATGTCCGAGGTATGTTCTTTATCAGATATACAGTTACGAACGCTTGGGGGTAAAAGCAAGATTTTAAAGAAATGTAAGGTTTGTTATTATTGGCTACTTGGCTGGAATCTCGAAGGCACCTGGGGAGCTTGACCATCTTCCTGTTGGGCTGTGAGAAACCTTCTGCTATTTTTGTTGAATAAATATCAACTGAAATTATTCAGAAGCAACTATATATTGTGTTTATTTTTTTAACCGAATAAAGAAAATATATGCTTGTTGTAAGAATTTAGAAAATACAGACATATATGAAGAAAAAAGTTAGTGTGACCTTGCCTGAAATGTTGTCAATTTAGTTACTCTTTTGCGGGTATCTCCTATTTTGTTATTTTTAACTTTATTTGTTATAGATTAACTTATTTGGGACAGAGTTTTAAATTCCTCATTGTTCAAAAAGGTTGTTTCTCCCCTTCTCCAGTTTGGGGGTGGGGGTGGGGTTGGGGGGAAGAGGTATTTGTCGTTTTTGTTTGCCTTCACTAACTTCCAAAATCCAGGCTAAAACAAAATGAAACAAAACAAAAAAACGATTTCTTTCTGGCAGTCACCACCCTAGTTTTATTTCCAGTGTCGACAGTGATTTCTAATTCTGAAAAATAAATGTATATGAAAGAAAGGTTCGCACAAACTCCAGCGAAACGAGACAAAGGAAAGTAACTTGTACTTGCAATTTCACAGATTTCATGAGTCCATCTTCCTCTCTTGAAACTATGCTACGTCGAACAAGTTTTACACATTTTAAAATACAGATATAAAAATAGGGGCGCCTGGGAGGCTCAGTCGGTTAAGCCTCCTCTCGATTTTGGCTCAGGTCATAATCTTAGAGCTCTTGAGTTGAGCCCTGCATCCGGAGCCTGGACCCTACTTCCAATTCTGTGTCTCCCTCTCTCTCTGCCCCTACCCCGTGCTCTCTCTCTCTCTCTCAAAAATAAATAACATTAAAAATCTTTTAATAAAAATAAAATAAAATACAGATATGAAAGTAAAACCAAAATGCCTTAAAACTTGAGATTATTTGGGATTTGTAGTGTGGAGAGATTTTGAGAGTAGAGAGGTTTTGTGATAGTAGAAGAAAAGCATGAATCCTTTAAAAATAATGCATGCATGATTCCTAATTTGATATCTCGAAAATTTTATCTGAAGACTGAATTGGCCTTGAAGTTCTGGAATATGTTAGAAGAGACTCCATTTGTTTAAATACAAAAAGAAAAAAATAATTAGATAGTTTTAGCAATTTTTTAAATAGGGAGGCTAAAAACATAGAGAAAAGGGGGCATGATTTTGGTTTAGAACCCTAACCAAACTTGTGTTTAATATAAAACTATTTAGTTTATAGAAAATTTTAACTACTTCATTGAACTCCATGTCTTATCAAATGGATTTAACACTCTACAAATATTCATTTAATTGATTCTTTTTCTTTTTGCTTTGGATTGCTATTTAGATTTAAATATTTAAATGTTAGGTTTCCTTTCATACTTTAACATGATGAAAACACTTAAAAGCAATTAAATGATGAAGCACTTCATTGGATAAACAACGTTTCATCTGTTATATTTTCACTTACATCATATACAGACATGGAGGTTGATGTCTTCTAAGAACAGGTTTTAGACATGTGTTTCCTAGCTCTGGCACTTGCACGAGAGCTCCCAAAAGATTCTGGCATACTTGGGTGTGGCCCCCTTGTTCTGGTAGTTGACCCTTTAATCTATTAGAAGTCTTGTGTAAATAAGCAGTTAACAGTGTGAGAGCTTTTCCAGTTTTTCTTCTAAAAACAGTGCATTGTTCTAGTGCACTGCAAGGGTTTTTGTTTTTTTTTTTTTTTCCTTTTCGTAGCTGTAATTTGATTCACTTACATATTCTCTCTTTTTCCAAATCAGTTTCACTTTCTCTAGGACAAGAATCAACCACCACAGTAGAACTTATTATGGTTCCTTGGTCTAGAGAAATTAAATAATTCATGTTTAATACACAATGTAACTAAAAATAAGTAATTCCTCCTTCTAAGTCACTGTTGTCTAGCTAATATAATCAAATAATGGTTACCCTAAAAAATAATTATCTATCACTGCCATCCATCATGCAACACTCAAATTATAAGGTTGCTGTGATTGTGGATACTATTTAAAAATTCCTCTTTGGTGATGACTTTGTTTCAAAGATGATTTATGAAGCAAATGACGGGAGCACCTCCTATTTAATGAACTCTCAGAGTGTGAACTTGGAAAGTTGCTTAGTTTCCTATTTCTGCTGTAACAAATTGCCACAAACTTAGTGGCTCAAACTAACATAAATTTATTATCTTCTAGTTCTGGATATCTAAATGGTATCTAGATATCTAGATATCTGAAATGGATCCATAGGGCTGCATTCCTTTTGGAAGTTCCAGGGGAGAATCTGTTTCCTTGCCTTTTGCAACTTCTAATGACCATCAACATTCCTTGGCTCATGGCCCCTGCATCTTTTCTCTGACCTCCATTCTTAGATCTTTTCTCTGTGACCTTCTTTAAAGGAAACTTATGATTACCTTGGGCCCACCCTGACAATCCAGGTTAATCTCCCTGAAAATTCTTAACTTAATCACATCTGAAGTCTCTTGCCATGTCAGGTAATATATTCACAGCTTTCAAGTGGACATCTTTGGGAGGCATTATTTAGCTTATCACAGGAAGGAATTTGGGGGCTGGTTAGGCAAGCCTCATTTTATACTTAAAGAAAGTGAATTTCAATATTCTGGGAGGCTTAAGTATAGATTAAAAGTTTTATAAGAATTAAAGGTTAGTTGTTTTCATTTTAGCTTTTTAACGATTATCTGTACTTGGATATACAGCAGAAAACCATATAAAATCTCTGGGCCTTATATAACTGTACCAAAACGAGGGGGGAAATACAAGAGATCAGGCTGTTGTTAAGCCAGTTTTGTCCCTCACCATTTTGCTGTTGTCTGTGCATCTGGCAGTGTTGTGTGTGTGGCTGGAAACCCACAGAAGTTTGGAGAATATAACGGAATTCAATGTGTACAGAAAGATGGAATGAGTATACTGGAGAACTAGCTAAGAGAGTTGGTAACTGAATGCAAATAGAGAGTAACTAGACACCAGTTGCTTGTACCGGAGTCTGCGCGGGGAGGAGGCTTCACAAAGAGTTTCTCTAAATGAGTCTTGCCCCTTCCACCTGTCACCGCCCTGACCACTCTGCTCTCTCCGACAGGTCATGATGATGGGCAGCGCCCGCGTGGCCGAGCTGCTGCTGCTCCACGGCGCGGACCCCAACTGCGCGGATCCCGCCACCCTCACCCGACCTGTGCACGACGCCGCCCGGGAGGGGTTCCTGGACACGCTGGTGGTGCTGCACCGAGCCGGGGCGCGGCTGGATGTGCGCGATGCCTGGGGCCGCCTGCCCGTGGACCTGGCTGAGGAGCGGGGCCACCGCGACATAGTCCGGTACCTTCGCGCAGCCACGGGGGGCACCGGCAGTGGTAGCCACACCGGTACAGACGGTGCAGAAGGTGTCGCAGGTGAGGTGGAAGATTTGAGTTGGACCCCGAAGAGCTTCAGCATTCCACTGCACTCCTTTTTCAGAAAAGAAAGCTGGCGCCGGGAGAGCAGGATCTTGGGTCCCTTGTCAGCTCTCACACTGCCATCCTGTATAACAACCCCAAGTGTCCAATCTCGCTGCCTGGCCAGGGCTATGGACAGGCAATAGCCTAGAAGGATTTCTGCACTTTAAAACCCATCCCATAAACCGTGCCCCTATCCTCCGCCCCAAATACTCACCCTCCCCACAGCTCAAGGACTTGACTAAGGAGCATTGATGACTCAGGATGCTAGAGGTCTAGTAGCCCCAGTTCCTCCAAACTAGCTGGCAACCGCATCCATTCAACTGCTCTGTGTCCACATTAGCATGGGTAGCTGGACCAGCCCTGCTATTTCTACAACCATTTGCACGTGGCATCATCTGACAGAAATCTATCACTCCCAGCTCTATTGCAAAACTCAACTAAATCTGACCCTCAGCTCTGTGCGGTGTTGTTTTCCAGAGCTGTCCAAGGGAGAGAGACCTCTCCAACCCTGGCAGTCTGCATATGGGGATTTGATGCACTCTGAGAAACAGAGACCCTCTCTTAAGCTTTTCTTTCTCAAGCCTTTTTTTCTTTGCGAGAGAGATCACTGAGAGGGAGATGGCTATACGGTCCACCTTGCCTTCTCCTACAACCACAAGCCTTCTCTCGTGGCCCTGTTTCTCCACCTCCACTCCAGCCTGCCTGAAGCACCAATTTTCCTGATTTTTTTTCCTGAAGGGAGAACCATTATATATACATGACATTAACACGATTATTTAAGGTAAACCATGACTTTGAAGATACTGAGATCTACTCTATTTTGGCTCAGAATTGGGGCACTAGACCCTCTGGGCCTTAGGGGGACCTAGGAGGACAGAGAGGAGAGGCTCCCTCTGGGTCCTAGACCGGTGATGCAGCGAGTGATGTGCCTTTGACAAGAAGCAAGAAGATCTCTTTTAGCCTGCCCACCCTCTCCTCCCATTGAAGCTTGTATCCGGACACAGCGTAGGACAAGGGACCAATCATAGGGCTGCTGAGCGGCCCTGAAGAGAAGGATTAGGTGATTGAATCGAGTCACAGACAAATACATATTGTAACCCTTTATAAGCAAAACTAAGAGATTTGACCAAGCACACAAGTCCCTCCCTCTCTCCCTGCCTCCCTTCTCTTTATCCTACTACACGACCTCCATTTTAGATGGGGCACAAAAATGAATGAGACGAAACAGGAGACTTGCCCTCATAGAGCTTATATTCTGGGAAACAGACTTTAAACAATATATTTTCAGAGTTAGTTTGTAAAACCAATTTAGTTGTAAATAGGGAGACAGGATTAGAGTGCTCAGAGAGCCTGATGAGAAGAGATTAGCCACTGGAGGCAGAGACACATTCAAGTCGCAAAGACTGTGGCAGGAATGAATGTGGCGGGTTAGGAGGACAGAAGGCGGGCACTGGAGCGCGCACACAAGGAGATCAGGGAGGAGGGCAAAGGCCAGATAATGTACCAGCTTGTAGGTCAAAGAAAGGATGTTGGGTCGAAACGTGGATTTTGAGAAACTTTAGGATGCTATTAATGGGTTTGGGAGAGGAAGCCTAGGAAGAAAGATGACAGGGCTGGAACTGAAGTTTCTAGATTGCCCAGCCGCTCCTAAGCCTCAGACGCCCTCTGCTTACCCGTGTTCGCCGAATAGCCTGCAGACGCGCCAAGAGCGAGGCGGTATTTTCACGTCCTGCGCTAGGCGCTGTGCGCGGCACGTCCGCAGCACGCGTTATATACCGGGATTTTCCTGTTGCAAGCCTGCGAGGCGGAGTGACCGCGCGCTCTCTGCCGTCGCCTGGCGGGCCCGGAGCTGCCGGCGAGCCCGGGCAGCCAGCCGCGCAGTGGACGCGATGCGATATCAGAGAGGCTGAGGAGTGCACCTGCTGGCAGGGTCTAGCCTTGGTGGACAGACCCTGTGCCGAGGGTTGGTGGATATTGAGAGGAGGTGTACATGCCAGGGAAGCCGTTTGAGAATCTTGTCCATAAATGTCTGAATACTAGGTGGGAGATTACGAGAGAGGAGGGATCGGTCGCGCATTCTTGACTTCTGGTTTCTAATGTCTTTTTCTCTTTCTACCGCCTGCAGACAGCCGGACTTAAAGAATCATTGAGATCTGAAGACACCTCAATATGGTTTTGATCTTCCGTCACCCAAGAGAAATAACCCCATCCCACCCAACTCTTCCCTGCTTTCTTAGTTGCCATATATCAAATAGCGCTTTTTAAATCTGCCTTCCCCTTCCCCTAAATTTACATTTGTATTTCCATTTATACATTGTTATAAAAGCTAAAAAGCAACACTGTTTCTGCCTTTTTATTATTGGGTTAGAGTTTTCTGGAGCACGTTCTTAGGCCCTGAAAACACATCTATGTGGGCACTTCCTCTTTCCAGCCTGGCACCTCAAAGGGTACTGTTGTTTTTACAGACCCTTGTGAACTAAAGATACCAAACTTAAACGGGTTACATGGCCTTTCCTGTGTCCAGCAGCCATTAAGTGGCAGTGCCAAAGCTCACTTTTTAAAAAGTGTTCTTTTGTTTACTCATTTATTCAGTCAACATTTACTGAGTACCTATTATGGCATCTTGCCATGGGTATGGGAAATGGAGACAGATATCAATTAATGAACCCACAAACGCATGACTAGAAATTTTTATGCTGATTTTATTGACTAGAAGGTAATATTGTTTCCAGAAGATAAATGTACACTGCAGTAAGAGTATATAGCATGGATTGTAAGACATCTGAATTTCAGATGATAAAATGTCAAGAGCTGGGTCTTAAGATCAATGAAATGGGATAACAAAGTGATGAACAGAAACTCCAGGGAGACCTCAGATTGACAGACTCACGGCTGGCCTTCCCCTACTCACCTGGCTGCAGGAGTTGAGCCCCTCAAGGTTTGGGGCATTTTGCCCAAATCTTCAAAGCAAGCATGTGACTGAGCCAGCAAAGTGTGGTCTACAACCACAGAGCCTGGTTCTGCAGTCTGCTGGGGGCCTGACTGAGCTGCCCCCAACCATGCCCAGCGCAGCTTCCTGAAACCCTCCCACAGTGGTTCCAGAGGGCTGTGAAGTAGCTACTGACCGCCACTCAAACCAAAAGCAGCTCCAGCTTCTCTGCCATGGCAGGAGGAGGAATGTGGCTTCAACTTCAGCAGAGGCCAGGAGGCCATGCTGCCTCCTCTGCAGTAGAGGTATCATACCTTCATTACTTATTTTTTTGAGGTGCAATTCATATAAAATTAATAATTTTATGTATATTTTAATGTTTATTTGAGAGAAAGAAAAAGAGCATGCACTGAGGAGAGAAGGGAGAGAAGCAGAGAGAGAGACAGAGAGAGAGAGAGAGAGAGAGAGAGAGAGAGAGAGAGGATCCCAAACAGGCTCCATACTGAGTGTGGGGCTCCACATGGGCCTGGATCCCACCACCTCCAGATCAGGACCTGAGCTGACATCAAGAGTTGGATGCTCAACTGACCGAGCCACCAAGGTGCCCCAAAATTAACAAATTTAAACCGTACAATTTGGTGTCATTTAGTCAACTCACAATGTTGTGCAGCCATCACCATTTATCTAGTTCAGAAACATTTCCATCACCTCCAAAGGAAACCCTGTATATATTAGGCATACTCATTAAATACTCCCTGTCCCCAGGCCCTGACAACCACTAATCTCCTTTTGTCTATGGATTTACCTATTTTGCACATTTCATGTAAGTGGAAGCACACAATACGTTGCCTTTTGTGCCTGGTTTCTTTCATTTAGCATAAGTGTTTGCAGTTCATGCATGTTGTAGCACATACCAGTACTTCATTCCTTTTTATAGCTGAATAGTATCCCACTGCTTACGCCATCTCATAATGAATGTTTGGGTTGTTTCCACCTTTTAGCTATAGCAAACAGTGCTATATTCACATATAAGTATTTGTTCAAATACTTGTTTTCAATTATTTTGGGTATATACCTAGGAGTGGAATTGTTGGATCATATAATTCTATGTTTACCTTTTTGAGGAACTGACAAACTGTTTCCACAGTAGCTGCACCATTAAACATTCCCACAACAATATACAAGGGTTCCAATATCTCCATACCCTCAATAACACTTGTTATTTTGGGATTTTTTAGAAGCCATCTAGTGGGTATGAAGTGGTATCTAATTATAGATTTCATTTGCATTTCCTTAATGACTACAGATGTTGAGCATTTTTTGTTTTTATTGGCGATTTGCATATTTTCTTAGGAGAAATGTCTATTCAAGTCCTTTGCCCATTTTTAAATTGAGTTTTTAAATTTTGTTAAGTTCTAGGAGTTCATTGTATATTATGGATACTAGACCTTTATCAAATATATCACTTATAAATATTTTCTCTCATTGTGTGCTGACACTTTGTGTCTTTTGATGCACAAAAGACTTTAATTTTGATTAAGTGTAATCAATCTTGTTTTTCTTTTGTTGTGCTTTTAGTGCCATGTCTAGGAATCCATGGACAAATCCAAGGTCATAAAGATTTACCTCTATGTTTTCTTCTATGACTTTTACAGCTTTATATCTTGCATCTAGGTCTTTGATCCATTTTTGGTTTTTGTTTGTTTTGTTTTCTTGGAGTCTTTTTTTTTTTTTTTTTGCATATAATATAAGGTAGGGCTCTAACTTCATTTTTTCGTGTGGGTACCCAATTGTCCCAGCATCATTTGTTAAAGCAGCTGTTCTTTGCTAATTGAATGATCTGGGATCTGTGTCAAAAATCAATTGACTATACAGATATTAGTTTATTTCTAGACTCTCAATTCTATTCCATTGAGATATATGTCTATCTTTATGTCAATTCTACACTATTTTGATTACTGTAACTTTGTGGTTACTATGTTTTGAAATTGGGAAATGTGAGTACTCTTTTTTTCTTTTTCAAAATAATTTTAATCTGTTTTAAGCTTGTGTCTGGGGTCCCTCGCAATTCCATATACATTTATGGATCAGCTTTTCCATTTCTACCAAAAAAAAAAAAAAGGCCACTGGGATTTTCATGGGGACTGCATTGTATATGTAGATCATTTTGGGTCCTACTGCCACCCTGAGAATATTAAGTCTTCTAATTCATAAACAAAAGATGTCTTTCCATTAATTTAGTCTTTAATTACAGCATTTTAAAAAAATTTCCAGTGCACAAGTATTGCATGTATTCAGTTAAATTTAGTCCTATTTTATTATTTTTGAATCTACAGAAAACTGAATTGTTTTCTTAATTTTTTTGGTCATTACTAGTGTATAGAAATACAAGTGATTTTGCCGTATTAGTCTTTTATTGAAGCTTCACTAAATTTATTAGCCCTAATAAAAGTAAATTAAAAATCTCCAGGATTTCCTATATGTGAGATTATAACATCTGCAAAGAGGAAGTTTTACTTGTTTCTTTCCAATTTGGATGCCTCATTCCTTCTTTTTTTTTTTTCTGTGCCTAATCGTTCAGGTTAAACTTTTCAGCACAATGTTGCTTATACCATTTTGAATAGAAGAAGCAGAAGCTGGCATTCTTTTCTTGTGCCTGATATCAGCAGGAAATCTTTTGGTCTTTCACCATTGATTATGATTATGATATTAGTGGTAATTTTTTCATAAGTGCCATTAATCAGATTGAAGAAGTTCTGTTCATTCCTACTTTGTTGAATGTTTTATCATGAAAAAGTGTTGGATTTTGTCAAATTCTTTCTCTGCATCAATAGATTGTATGTTTTCCTTGATTCTATTAATATGATATATTACACTGATCCATTTTTGTATGTGGAACCCCTTGCATTCCTGAGATAAATGTCACTTGATCATGGTGGTTTGCAAGGATTTTCTTGAGGATTTTTTTTTTTCATCTTTGACTTAATTTCTTGTATGTCTTTGCCTGGTTTTGGCATCAGGATAACGTTGGCCCCATGGAATGAGTTAGGAAGTGTTCACCATTCTAAGAAGAGAGAAGGACTGGTGTTAATTTTTCTTTAAACATTTGATACAATGCACTAGTGAAGCCATCTGCTCCTGGGCTTTTGTCAAGAGGTTTTTGACTACTGATTCAATTTATTTACTTGTTATAAGTCTATTTACATTTTCTTTTTTTCCCTTGAGTCAGTTTTGGTAGGTTATGTGTTTCCAGGGAATTTGTCTATTTTACTTAGGCTTGTCAGCATACATAATTCATAGTTTTATAATCCCTTTTGTTCCTTTAATGTCGCTAGTAATGTCCCCATTATGCTGTGGTTAAGTCATCTTTTTCTTGATCAAGAGTTCAGTTGGTTGCTGTAAACCTGTGACTACTTTCCAGCGTTCCCACAAAGTCAATTCTGACGTTTATCTTCTTGACGTTTCTTTTTAGAGATGGGCTCTTGGAGCTTCCTACCCTGTTATTTGCACCGATGCACTTCTACTTTTTGTTTTCTATTAGAGTAGAATGGCCAACTGCCTCTGAAACGCGAAGTTCCTTCCCCCGTACATCCCGCCTGACTGGGATTTGGTTCCCCACTCCTGGCCTTCCCACCATCTGGGTATCTGTTCTCCACCATTTCTTTGAACCTCTCTAGCTCTAACACTAAGCTATGTCCCTCCAAATGTTTTCCACTCTCCCTCCTCCTCACGCTCCCCACCAGCACCACCCAAAC